TCTGCTCATTCGGATGTTACTCATTTTGGGCGCATTGCAGTTTCTTGGGAGTTAAAATCGTATGAATTTTTCAAATCTGTTTCATACGCTATAAGTGAAGCATCTAGTTTATTCAGCTGGTAGAGCGAGTTGTCAAAAGGAAATTTTTCTCATTCTGCCTATCCTGCTGAAATCGACGACATAAGGATTTTTACTCAACTTAAAGTAAACTTTTGTCATGAACTCATTTCCTCAAACAGTCTGTAAACTTACAAAATAATTGAATAAAAATCAGTATTTTGTATAAGTGAGATCAACTGTTACCATTAAGCTGTGCAGGATCTGATGAACTATCATTTTTGTCTATACTTTTTACTTTTTTTCGACACTGACATCTAATAACTGGATATATATATAGCTGAAGAAACTTCTGGGATTGCTCATATAAGTCTGTAATCTGATTATTCCATTAGCAACAAAGTTTGTATTTTTCTTTACATTATTTTCTTTCCTTACCATCAACGCTTTCTTTCCTTTCGTGAACATTCCAAGCTGGTTTTCGGGTAATCACCTCTGATGAGATGATCGCAAATGAATAGACGTCCCCTTCTTTTGAAGCTAACGAGTCTCTAAGATGCTCGGGAGCAATCCAGAGAAGACCTAATATGAACCATTAAGAGATGCAATTAGGACAGCACTGAACTGGGAAGACCCTTACGCTTTCGTTTTAATCGCTCTTCCTCCGTCAGAGATTCCGTACCATAGTCGGATATTTTGACTTGCCAACTATCATTGACTAAACAGCATCCCGAACGTAGCCGTCCATGATATCCGACAAAGGTGCTATGAAGGAAACACAGTCCCTTAAAGGGCGAAAGATGCACCTGTTCTGGATATTTTATGTGAATACTTACTTCAGCAATGTCTCGCATAATACAGAACATGAAAAATGGGTCAAACCATAATGAACCTTTCGAGATCAACTCCTATGAAAGCAAAAAAAATTAGAACAGAGTTTGAGGTTGGGCTATAATAAAGGTGAAGTATGATGCTTACTTGCAGAGTTCCTCTGGAACACATTCGCCAAATTGCAAGATACTCGGGTCCATCGATGGACAGGCCAATGAAGCGATTCAAATTATCTTGATCAAGTTTCCTCATCTAAAATATTACCAGTAATTTTATTTCAAGAAAAAAAATGTAATAACTGAGAGTTGGTCTTCGCAGCCATCGGTTTTTCGAGAAAGAATCAGTTCAAAGCAGTGCAACTTAAACTGATTCTAATTCTTTGATAATTATCAATACCATTTCTTAATTCTTACTTTTGATTTCAAAGAGTACTGATAGTACAAACTGAGTTTGCAGATCCATGAGGTTACTCCTCGCATTAAGTACATTAGTAATCCTCATGTAATTGAAACTAGCTGTCAAAACAACTACATGTCAAGCTCCAGCAAAGTCTTATCTCTCCGTCACGAGATGTCTTCCCATACAATTCCATATAGGGACCGCGATAGGTCTAGGGTATGATAGGAAAGAAAGTTTTAGCTGAGAGACTATTTCCTTGAATGGT